GTGCCAAGCAGTCTTTGGAGCAGGTATTCATATTTCGTATCGAAGTATATTTCTGAGGTAGGTATAAGAAATGAAAAACAAATTCAATCTTTCAAATTATCAAAATAATTTCATTTGACTACGATTTCCACAGCCAACCGTGCGTACACTAGTGTGTGTGTGACTTTTGTCAATGTAGTAGTGCGATTCTATACCTATCCATTTTGTAAACGCGTCCTTAATGCCCGGTTTACATCTTGAGAAGTGACAAGTGCAAGTGGAAAATGCAAATGACAAGTGATAAGTGTGAATAAAATGCGCACTAAGCACTTAGTACACATTTTATTCACGCACGCAGTAACTTAAGGCAATAAGACTTCTAAGAGTGCAGTTTTATTTGTATTATTACTAATTCTGTCATTCAATAAAAATAAAGAAAAATGAACTTTATTTCAAGTACGTTAAAGTCTTTGCGTTCGTGGATTTGTACTGTGACCACAACATTCTTCAGGAATTAGTACAACTAATTTGATAAATAATCAGTGCATAAAAACGTTTAACTAAAAATTCAGTGTATGTATTATGATTATAACATAATATACAACATAATAGACTTATTAAGAAAAAGAATTTGTATTAAAGCAGGCGGTGTAAAAAAATTCACTTTCCTATTTCGTCCAGTGAGTGTCATAAGAGGCGAAAACAAACCAGGAGATGGGCAGGAGCATCTTTCTAATAACAAATAAAAAAAACTTCGATTGCGAACCAGCCTGTCGAGCGTGGCTTCTACGACAAATATACCAACCACTACGGAAGCTAGTACGGAAATCTATGGAGGAGTCTGTGGCCGTGGAAGGAGCTATTTTGTTCTATTTTTACTTCGGAACTTTGATAGCGTGATTTCAGTTTCGATGTGTTTTGCTTGTGGCGTGACGACAGCGCTGCAACAAGTGCTCATCATTGGGCTTTTGATAGCCCTATAACGGTAACTATAAATTTATAATAACCATGTTTCAGCCTTACTAAAAAGATTGATTCACGCATATTACCCACCCGTCTCCATGATCCCTGCTGGCAAACGACACTTGTATGTCCGCATGCCCGTCGTCCATCTGCTGGAAACGCAGGCCACCGTGTGGCGCCCACACCGCTAGTCCGTCTGCCATCAAAGTCCGGACACGTTCTTTGTCCAATGTGCTCGAGCCATTAAGCACTCTGAGGATAGAGGACACGTTCCAAAAGGAATGATTAAAGACGGTTCTTATATTCTTTGTTAATGCAAGTTAAATTACGTGGTAGAGCGGCGACGTCGCGGAGAGTGACAATTTTGTCTCGCGTGCGCGCGCTGCAATGAAAACCAAACGGCGCGGTGACAGTTTCGTCACGGGCTTGTTCGCCGGTCAGCGTACAAAAATGTCACCCAGTTGTTACGTCGTAACATGCGCGCATCTCTCATACATATTCACGGACCTGATATGAGTGACGAGACAGTCACGGTGACAAAAATTACCAGTGCGCGGTAGCTCTAATTCTATAAAAAAAAAATCAAATAACTTCAAGTGTATCCTGTGACACAAATAACTTGAAATAAAGAATGCCACGGATTTGTTTTCACTCTTGAGGACTATCATGAAAGTTAAGTTGGCTCAGTAGCCAAGTCCACGCTCACAGAAGTTTGCTCAAGTGTGTTTCAAATATGCAAAAATTATTAGTATAACTTCCTTTTATATAAGTAAATACGATCTATACATACACAATCATTTTATACATTGTATACCTTAAATAAATAGGTATACCACGTATCAAATCCGTCTGTGTAACGTTTTGGGACGGAGGGTTCAAAATCATGCATTGCATCTGCTCAGCGTCGTAACTATTAGTACTCCTATTAGTTTGTGACTATGACCATTACAACTCGCGGCACGAAAGTCTAGCGGTGACCGTTATTGCTCATAATTGGCCGTATAACGCATTATTGCGTATGATTGGCTGTGCGTATCGTGCGCACATGCTGATTGGCTCTCCAGTTGCATTACGTCTTCCGTACTGATACGGCATTCACAGCTATCTCCGAAATGTTTCGTTCAGCGCTAGAGTTACACGCCGCGTTCTATGTCCCCCTATAAGGCAATCTACGGGGAGGGCCTGTATTAAGCAGTGGACTTTGGTAGGCTGTAATTAACGAATTAATGAATGTTATGACGGCAACGTACAAAGGATTACAATGCACTCACCTGTATGTTATGTTTTTCTTTCCCCATCCCTGTTGTAGGATATATCTACGGCTTCTTGCCGGGGTTTGTATATCTTTGACACCACAGCGTTTTTTCTTAAAAAACTGTAGGAAGGTACACTATTATTACGTTACTTCATTATGAATATTATTCACGTAGAAAAAAGAATTAATTACAGCTTAAAAATTGTTTACTCAATTAATTTCGTGTGTTTGGTGACACCGCCCAGAAACTCACCATAAACATGATATATTTTTATGAAATTACAACGGGTATTAAATGTTTATAATATATACTTAATTCAATAAAAACTAGGAGCTGTGGTAACTCAGAGGCTAAGCGATCGCCGCGATTTCACCTTACGCGAGAAACTCGGGTTCGATCCCAATTACTACCTGGGACCTATGAATGCAATTATATATTAAATGCCTTACGTTAAGACGTATATAGATTAATGATTTACTACTGTCCTTACAAAATAAAATTGGAGGCAGCGCACAGGATAGTAATTAATTACTTAAGCTCATGGCTCCTACCGGCTTTTACAAATAAAGAAGGCCCCAGACACGGTAATATTATCTATACAGTATTGTAACTCGGCCGTATCTTTGAAATAAATGCCTACAGCCGCGCGGTACGTAAACATGCGATAGGGCTGCCTACCTCCAGCATTTTTACATTTGCCTACTTTATGTTTCCATTTTGTTTTATGATTGTAAATATACTTTTTTTTTATATAAACGAATATAATAGGTACTTTGTGAATTGAATAGGAAGTGTTCAATAAAATTCGTGTCGTGTTTTGATTGGTAGATTTAATTTAAAAAACCATGTTTATGTTTGAATAACAAATCGGTCTTATAAATTTGCGACCGAAAAATATTTTCGCCACGGCTGAGACGTACGAAATGCTTTATTATTAAAATTTTAAGTATAAAAAATCCGTATTCTAATATAAAGCTTAATTAAAAATTGTTTTGGGAAACATGGACAAGGTGGAGAAAAGGAATATCTTTTACTTGGTTATAGATACCTGCAGCTACTTTACAATTAATATGTTTGGTTTTAAATGAAGTTAGGATTTATTATTTCTTTATTTATATTCTCCATTTTTAATATATTCCACAAAATCATCACTGCGGCACAGTCACGATTGTCTGCATGCCGAGCGCATGCCGAGATCGAGGCGCGTAGGCATAGCTCTCGCTTCGTCCGTTTGTATGAAGTTGGAATACTGTATAGATAAAATTACCGTGCCCCAGATCAATTGTCACCCATATGGATAGAGTCCTTCATACATATATGTTCGTATACTTGCTGCTCTCTTAGTCACCCTTCAAGACAGTTCAAAACAGTGAGAGTATAGTTGCCCTGTTAAAGAAATTAGGAGGAAGGTGATGGGCTACCACCTTGTGAAGTGGTAGGATTTTTTTTAAATAGAAAAAGGGTGACAAACAAGCATACAGTTCACCTGATGGTAAATGGATGTTGCGGTCTATAGGCACCTGCATTTATTCTCGACTAAGGATTAATATACAGATACTGTACGTGGAGTAAATGCCTTATTACCAATATAAAAAGGGTTTCAAAATTTGGAATGTGTTAAAGATACTCACACTCCGTGTTACTGGATCGAGGTTGCCCGTCGGCGGGAGACCAGCAAACAGCTGCATCTTCTTCACGGCCTCGGAGATGGAGTGCGGCGTGTAGGCAAAATCAAAGTCGCCCTGCTCTTCCGGCAGATAGCCATATCTTCTCATGAAGCCCACCTGAACAAGAAAATAAGTTCAGAACGTTTTGGTAAAATTTTTGTAATACCGAATAAGGGTTTGGAGGAATGGCAATATGTTTTTAATTGCTGATTCTATACAGTTGTCTCAAAGTAGCACAAACTTTACGGCTAACTTCCTCAACATGACTGCGCCAAGTAAGAGAACAAATCTAAGGTTAATCCTAAGTTCTTAAGATGAGTCTTGTACGGAATTACCTCGCCATTATAAATCAGGGGATCTAATAATGTTTAACGTGGACTGTTTAAGACTATAGCTTTAAATAATGCCACTTAAAATCTTAAAAATAAACTTACTGTTTTATAAAACATATTGATTATAATTTTATTTTTGTAATCAATTTTTATGACATATATTTTTATTAGTAAATATACCTTATGAGTAGTCTTAAAACACTTAAACTTACAACTCTGAAAGATCACAGAGAGTGGGGAGACTTGACTGAAACATACAAAATAATACATGGCTGACGGATGATTTAGAAAATTTTGACAAACTATTACTCGTATTCCAGTACCCAAACATCACACATCTTATAGGCATCACTTCAAATTGACTAAAACCGTGTCACAAAATTACTTACCTATTTTAGTGATAAAGTAGAGTGGATAAAGTATGGAACTAGGTGCTATCAAAAGTGATATCAGCAAAAACCATAAACCCTATGTCTAATGTCTATGTTCAACTGTGGGCTTAGATAGGGTGTAATGATTGATCAATTATTTATTCAATAATTTTATATCGACTTCGTAAAAATGAGTCGTCGACAACACTGACCTCCTCGAGCGTAGGTGAATTCACTTCCAAAAATATGGTCCTGCACCACACGTACCCATTAAGGAACGCTATGCACATGAACAATAACCACTTTTCACCGTCCATTATGACAACTGAACAAAGAAAGCAGAACGAAGCGAGCGATGGCGCTCGTACCAAGTTGAATTCACTTGACCCTTGACTCACGATAAGGCTGGTGCGTTTATAGTACGCCAGAGCGATGGTAGGTAACGCCCTTTAATTCAAAATCTCCTTTTATTAGTCGCCTAACAATATTTTTTTCAGATAAGCTTTTGTCTTGTTGTTTTAAAATGCCTAGGGTAATTATTTTTTATTAAAACATATTATATCTTTACATGCTTCTTCAAAATAATACATACAACGCATAAATACTACTGTAACAAACAATTACGGACATTGTTACGCACAATTATACATTTAGATAAATTACATAACTTCAATCTTTGCACTTGAACCCTGTGTATAGGATTTGATAAGCAAATTACGATACCTAGCTAAATTCATTTCTAGTATTTAATTTTTATAACTCAAAAGGATAATAAATATTAAAATAATTGTGAAAATTTTTGAATGATTTTAAGTGAAATAAAATTATCTATCTTCAGACTGCAGGAATTTAAATTCCCAAATATCTGGTAGCAACTTTAGTCTGGAAACACGACGCATGACATGATACCGGCGCAGCTGCAAACGTGATTATGCAGCAATATTTTCTAGAAACGATGACGGTATTAATCATGGTATTATCTTTGAGTCTATTAAAATAATAATAACATGAGGTTTGATTTATTATAATCACGTGTAAAATTTCACAGTGGTAAAAAATCAGTAGATGGCAGCAGCGTCTTTCTAAACGAAAAAAATACTGCGGTTGCCAACCAGCTTGCCAAGCGTGGCAACTGTGGCAAATATCCCTCATATGAGTTTATCTATGGGGGAGACCTTAAGGCTTTTACGGCAACGTATAAGATTTCAGTGGCAAAATATATAAATTCTATTCCATTATACTTATTTTTTATTGTTCTTGTAATTCTTCATTAGTTTGTAAAAATTCAAAGCGGAACTGGACTTATTCCATCGCAAAGAGGATAAGAAAGAGAAGGAGAGCTATATTACTTCGGCTCGACCGGAGAAGGACCACGCTCTCATAGAATACCAGCGCCAAATAGCAGCTAAACGCTGCTGTTTAGTTTGTTGAGTGTAGAGAGCTTGATACCCTTTTTACTGGAAACGAGGCATTTACGGGTGACAACGTATCTGCATTTTGATTCGTTATCGAGGATAGATGTAGATGTCTATGGGCCACAGCAACCACTTACCATCATGTGGACTGTGTGCTCGTTTGCCACTCTTATACTAAAAAAAACAGTTGAAAGGGGATTAATTGCCGTACTGTCAGACATTTCGCACCTTTAATGCTACCTACTTAAAGTTGTCAATCTTGGTGTACGTCTGGCGTAAACGAGATAGACCTAAACTAGAAAGTTAAGTATACTAAGTATCGTGTGGGGGCGGAGTAAAATATTTTATCTCGTGGGTGTCGTAAGAAAGGTCTTATGGCTTCCGATAGAGGGCGGTATGGCGCAACGGAGTGGGTACTTTACAAACATAGGACAAGTGTAAGACCCATGGAGTGTAGAGTTAAGGAGAACCGTCTCACATGGAGAATAGTTCAAAACGTATCCATCTGTAAGTAGTAAATAACAGTTCAAAAACTCTCCACAACAGCGCTAGAGTAGCTAGAGGGTATAAAATTAACTTGTAGTTGTCAACGGAATGAAGCGTGCAGAATTGAGGAATTTAATATTTGTGGTGACTATAGTAGTTGATGAAACTGCAGTATTTAAAACCTCATCTACTCACGTTGTCTAAAATAATTTAGTAAATATAACCTAGAAGAAGTCGCTGTGAAAACAATTTGAAAGTGATTTTAAAAATAAAAATTTTGAAAACAATAAAATAATTATTATAAAAAAGAGTTATGGTGAAATTTTGTGCAATAAAAAGTTATAAAATGTTCTTTTAAATTTACCCTATAGCTACAATGGCGCCACCCTTATTTAACGATTTCCTACGGACACTTTTTAATATACAGCGACGGTTGTCCTTACCTCTAGACTCCATGGTAAGTACCTTGGATACTATGATACTTTACCAAGGTAAGAACGAGGGACAAAATGGGGCTAATGTCACAGATTGTCTAATATGTAAGTACTTAGTTACTATGTAAGTGATGTATTCACTTACACCGATGGCAGACAGGGAAAGATATGAAGCAACTCCTACTTTTAAAAAAAATTTTGAATGGTTTTATAATGATAAAAACTTTAATTTTTGAGTACAATTAATATTATTTTATGCAGATACATAACCAATTTGTCCAAGGGTACATAGCTACACAACGTAGGTAATTATGGTACATATTTTGTGTCTATATCCTTTTCAATATTTTAAGGGATGACGGATAACTGACAACTGACAAATTCCAGTATTTAGTAAAATAATTGACATTTATCGTATGTAAATAACATACAATAAATAATAAGATTATCACTTTGGTATTTAAATATCATGCAGCCCGCGACAGGTAGTAAGACGACCAGCGACACGGACTTCAGACGTTTATACAGCCTCTCCTTGTCGCAGATCAGGAAACAATCTGAAATTGCGGAGTACCATTACAAGCCTTCACCTTTTGTGAGATGTTTCCCAACCCTATTATTAGGTTGATTACTAATTATAGAAGTTATAATTCAACAAGCGATAAGAAAGAATAAGGTTCTCGAGTGGCAGCCTCGTGCCGGTTAGCGATGTGTATGGAGACTTCCCACTGGATGGAGTGATGCAAGAAGGCGGTGGATATAGGTGGCTCATGATTTAGAGAAAATATTCGTCGATGGACCTTTTAAGGGCTATAATAGCAATGATGATGATGATGATGTTGATACATACTTATTTGATTAGTTTGTGTCTTAATTTTACTTTGTATCCGAGTTGCACTCTGTGCTCTGAGCAGAATTTGATGTTTATGTTGTGGGAGAAAGAGTGAAAATTTTGTAAACGAAATATTGTTAGATTTTTTTTAATTCGCTAATAAGTAGAGGAATACTTTCTGGATGGCGGTTATTAAAACACCTCGGTCAATATCAATAGTAACACAATCAATAATTTTATCTCTTCGATCTCCTTTATTAGCCATATAACTCACTCTTGGCTTTTTAAGAATGCACCAAATAAAGCATGTCTGAAGATTTTCGAATGGCCAAACTTGTCAAGCTGGTTTTTGAATCTTTTACCAGATTGTGAAATTAGGGTTTCGGTCAACTAATTACAAATATTAAATCATCGGTCGCCTGAGTGACATACCGTGTGGTGGTGTACCATGAGTGTCGTAAAAGGTGATTATGGAAAATACCAGCAAAATCTTATGGCTCACGAAAGATGGCAAAATAGCCACCTTTTTACGCCTGGCATAAAATACCCTGAAAGATTTATGTATTTATTTTGACTATTGTAATATTATGTAGGTACAACCTAAGCTTATTATTGCAAGAGTCAATATAATTTAATATTCTGTATTTTTTTATAGAATTAAGGGTGACACATAGTCCTTTTGGTAAAGGCGTGCACTCACAGACGGCATGGCACGGCTTGTCAGGGGATTTTTTTTGACAAAAGATTTTCGATCTCATTTTAATGAAATTAGCATTGACATTTCCTTAATTCTACACGAAGAGACAAAAAAATTTCGCGCGACAATGCGGCATGCCGCGGCACGTGAGGCCATTCCATGGGATTGCCGCGGCATGCCGCGCCGCTGCATCACGTGGAACGAAAAAGTTACTTTATGTTGTTAAAGGAAGGTGACTGCTAATTAAGTGAAACAAGGTTGAATCTAGCCCGTTGCGGCGACAATCTCAGCGACTCGCGCGAGCGCCCGGTACACGAGCGCGTTTCGACTTATTGGGAATGCCGCGGGATGCCACAGAATATCCTTGCGTGCCTTGCAACGCCGCCACGACGTTACATCTGTGAGCGCAGGCCCTAAATTGATTATATGCATGTACCATAGATAACCACATCAATCGCTTCATTGATTAAAAATTAAAATTGTGAATACTTTGTCATCGCTGACCGAGAAGAAATGCTTCATCACTAGTAAAAAGTTTTTCCGGTTCCATTACTGACCATATACGAAATACAGCAGCACAGTGCTGTAAATTGAATTAATACATAATAATTTGATATAAATTGAAGCTACAGTAGCCTAGTGGCAGGGCGCGGACCGCGAACTTAAAAGGTCGCGGGTTCGACAGTAGTCGAATGGTGGATTCGAAATTTGTAATATAATCGGTGATGTACGCGTACTGTTATATTTAGCTCACTAGTAGGTATATGGGTGCTGACAGAATAACAGCGTTGTAGATTCTCTGCAACACATGCTGAGTCAGGACCCTTTCATTGTCCTTCTAAAAATATTATTTTTGTATTAGTTTAACTTTTAAATATTTTATTACTTTTGGTCAATAAATAAATATTTTATTATTATTATTATTACTGTCGTGAACCACTCCTAACACAAGCATTTTCAGCTTACCAGGAGTGGTTAAAGAGAATATTAGTAATGTTAATTAATAGGATTACTAATATTTAAAAAAAAATACATAATATGTGGTAGCGGCACGATGCAGGTATAGGTATATAGGTAGGTATATATTACAGCTGCAATACGAATGAATTAGTTTGACCATACTCGCGTCAAATACTAGCGTGTAGTAACAGCATAATGCCTCTGTGTTTCGTGTGGTAAAAAGCTTTCCATCTTAGTCCTCAGGGGTGACGAGGCATCTGTATTTTAATTCTTAATTTGGAATAAATTTAGATGTCTGGGCCACAGCATCCACCTAGCATTAGATCAGGTGGTTTGTGTGCTCGCTTGTCACACTTCTTTAAAAAGTAGTCACTCTTAATTTTTTCATTGACTCGATTTTATGAAGAATTAAGACATTCTTATTCACCGCATTTATTAAGACTGTTTTAAAATGATTTATCTCTCATTTAGAACATTCGCTGGATCCACGGCTATAATCCTAAAGTTGTTGTTATAAATTTGAACGATGACGGTAGCACGGTGGCTTTCTACGCAGCGGGCAACTGCGCTGTCCTGTACAATTGGACGAAAAACGAAATGAGGATACTACAAGGACATGTGGGTGATGATATTAAGTATTTATTTATTTATTATTACTAGCTGTTCCCGCGACTTCGTCCGCGTGGAATTTATTACGGTGGTTGATCTGTTTTTCGAAAATAAAAGTGGCCTAAATTACTCCTTATAACATCGGCTGTCTGCCTGTGAAAGTCCCGTCAAAATCGATCCAGCTATTTTGGAGATTAGCCGGAACAAACAGATAGACAGACAGACCGACATACAGACAGACAAAAATTTTAAAATCTTTTTTTTATAAGTACCGCATAATATACTTTTGTATGAATTTATTAAAAATATGTTATTTTCACTTTACAAACAGATACTTCAATTTTATTTATTTGTATAAATATCCACTTACTACCGGATTGTCCTTATACCATAGATAAGTCAGACTTTAGTTATATTAGATATCATAAGTCTATAAACTAAAACATAGAAAACCAAGGTAATCTTTGGGAACTCGTTCAGAGAACGTACGAATAAATCCATCCGCTTAGCCACCGCATTGAGCGGCGTAGCGCTCGGAACGGCGATGTATTATTAATACTTTCACTTGAGGGAAGCTCAAGTTTGAAAATTTTGTATTATTTATCACTGTATCTACAACTACCATCATCCGCTCGTAAAATCCCACTGTTGGTTATGGGCCTCAAACGTGTTTCCTTTAATCATCACGCTTGTTGGTGGCTTGGTGGTGGTCAGTGTCAGACGTCTATCAACTATGACATTGCTACCCGTCGCTGGTCTGGGTAGTTTACATACGGCGTGAATGAGATGGTGTACCGCCATATATCGGAAGATTCTTCTGGTCGTCTCTTACGTACGTTACGTACTTACTACGTAGTTACTCAGATTCGGAAGCGGTGCCGGCTCATTTACGAATTACAACCATTTTTTGTTGTAATTCGTGAATGGGTCGGCATTATATTTAGTTGCATTGTTTATAACATGCAAAGCTCGATAGTCATTCACTTCAATCTCTAGAAGAAACGTAAACGTTTTTATTTTATTTTTATAGATTAAGGATTACGAACGAGCGTGTCCACTCGATGGTAAGTGGATACTGTGACCCATAGACATTTACATTTATTCTCGATTAAGAATCAATGTGCAGATGCATTGTCACTCCTGAATAATAAGATGGATGCCTCGTTTCCAGTGAAAAGGATCTCCGGTTCTTTATACCCACCATACCAAACACAGCAGCATTAAGCTGCTATTTCACGCTGGTATTCTGTGAGAGCGTGGTCCTACCTCTGTCGAGCTGACCCATTTGTGCTACAACCATAATATAAGTACTCATAGAAGCATGGTGATACCACGTTTAAAAAAGTTAAAAAGTGTTGCAGTTTTTCATGGGCGGCGGTAATCATTTACCATCAGGTGAGCCGTAAGCTCGTTTGTCCTATAAAATAAAAAAGCTAATTGCAAGTGCGTTAGTTAGGCCTTGGACTAATCACTTTATTTACGTGCTATAGTTGATGCCCAGTCGAAATATGGTTCCAATACTTTTAAAATGACTGCTGCGTTGGTCTAGTGGTTGTAGTAGTGTGAGTGCTGATCATGAGGTCCTGGACTCAAATCCCAGGTCGGGCCAAAAAATAAATTACTTACTTATTGAGTTTTTCTGTCAAGAAATTCACAGTAGCCGCCCGGAGTCAGGAAGTTGGCGGTGTCTCACCCCCGTGCCTCGAAAAGCACGTAAAGCCCCGTTGCTCCTGCGCCTAATCTCTCTCCGGTCGTATCGGTTTACCGTCCCATCGGATTATGTGAGTGAGGGAATAGAGAGTGCACCTGTGCTTGCGCATACACTTGGGCACTATAATCCTATCCTGCGCCGATGGCTAGCCTCCGTTGAGGCAGGCCGCCGTAACCTAAATTCGGTCTGGAGGACATTACTTTTGAAAACAAATATGTGGTTCACTGATTAATAAACTAACGGCTCAGTATAAAGCCGTAGTTTAGAATTAAGCGTCAGCCATGTTTTACACTACGCGAGAAATCAGGTTTCAGTTCGTGCTGGCTCTAAAGAAAGTGATAGTTGCAGTTTTAAATGCTAATTTCCCAAGTGCTCGATTATAAAGGAAAAGATCTTGAACAAACTTTATATGTAAGAAATAAAAAAAATATTTACGAAGACATGTGAAGTCCGCCAACATGTACTAGAGCTCCATAATAAATACGTTGTTACTTTACTTTACTATGTATATTCAAACAGAGGCACATGGTCACAAACATAGCTTCGGACAGTAAAGGAAAATGGCTGGTGACCGCTGACTCAGGCCCGGAGAACGTGTTAATAGTTTGGGACAGCAGCGACTACTTCCCCCAGAAGACCTTGTTCTCTCCACATGGTGCAACGAGCATCGCGAAGGTCGCACTCAGTGCTGACGCAAAGTATCTACTAACCCTTGGCTATAAGGATAGAGCGGTGATCTACTGGTGGATTTGGTCTTTTGGGTATGACGAACCTCATGGTAAGCAGCAGATTTTGCAATAATTTATTGTATGTTCTTTTTACCGTCTGGAAAAAATAAGATGTAACAGAAGAAGAAGCCTATGTCACTAATATTTTACAATTTTATTTTTTACATTAACATATTATGAAATTGATCTATCAATAAATACTACTGATTGGGTGCGTATTATTTTAATTTCGGTAGTTTTTAATTTATTTATTTATTTAGTTCAACATTTTTGTTTTTATTTTTTTAGTATCGAAAGTTTATTTCAAATTAGTGATATTTATTAAGAGATCAATTTCATAGTATTGTTACGGCCCTCAGTTGTCCCGACAGAAGTCGACTGGGCTAGGGACCATCAGTAACCCAACTCGACGGGCAACCAGAGGGTTCGGGCCCAAATGGCTATATATATAATGGATAATGATTATGTAATGGCTGGATAAGCAAACACAAACTTACCGAGTTCCGGAGGTAGGGTCGACCACAAGGTACCGTCAGGGGCAAGTAAATGGTAGGTGTGAGTGGCGTAAGAAGGTGTGTAATATAGCCTGACGTCACTGATGTAATCGGCCAGCAGACTCACATGCGTTTCCCTGCTCCACAATGGGCGTTCACCGTTATTTGAACTCAAGTCTAACGTAACTTAGTACAAACTATAATCGAAGAGGAACGCGATCTCCTCCCGGGTCACAAAGTTTAGCGTTCCACCCGACAAAGCAAAAATGCCTTCGTAAGATATTAAAATACCACACAAGCGACTCGTCGACGCAAATTAATGGCAATCGAAGTTAAATTAATCACTCAAACTCAAGGAAAGCCTCGTTGTCACGTATACGAACAATATAAGACAACGCAAAAGATGTGGTCTTAACGCGACCTAACTCTTCTAACGTAACTTCCCGACATCTAACCGACACGGCCGTCGCGGACAATAGATTGTTCCAGACTAATTGGCACGGCCGCAGCCCGCAAAACGAATGCCCGCCGGCCCAAACCGTCAAACAGGTTTATCGCCCGAGACGAGCGTTTTCGCAAGTTTTAAGTTGTTACGATTTGGCCTAAACAAGTATGTTAATGTAAAAGAAAAGAAAACGATTTTTCCAGACGGTAAAAATGTCATTCGAAATTTTACTTTAGATGTACAAGCTTATAGTTATGTATCCGGGCATTGATTAAACTATTTGACTGTCTCGTTAGTGTAGTGGTTGTAAACAAGCGCGAATCATGTGGTCCGGGGTTGTTTCCCGGGTCGGGTTTAATATCAGTTCTGATCAGTTCGTGATTTTTTCTATCACGAATTCTTGGTAGGAGCCCAGAAGCTGGCGGTGTTTCAACCTCGTGCCTCGGAAAGCACGTAAAGCTGTTGTGCTCTTGATCTCTCTCCGGTTGTAGCATAAGGAATCTTGATATAAAAATGTATAAGTAATAAAAAGTATAGTTGCGTTGATAAGTTACTTATTTATCTAAAAGATTTAGTAGCATATTATAACAAAATGTTATTATAAATAAATATACGTGGTAGAGCCACGCTACATACTCGTATGTCTGTTTTATGTTGATAAATAAGTTTGACGATTTGAATCGATTTAAGAAGCAGCGGGAGGTAGCACTTTTATCAAAAATGTGAATTAATTAAAGTAAGAAGAAAACAAATTTCTTTGGCAACAAATTTAAACCTTTGTGAAGCTTATGTAGTCTATTTTAACCTGTATATTTGACATCGCCATAAATAATTATGTCTGAGATTATGTCATGTAAATTAAAATCAAAAAATGTTTCGAGTACATACTTATATTAATATTTTCGCAACTTCAAAATTCAATAACTGTTAAGTATTATTAAACGGAAAAATCAGAATTAAACCCAATTGATTTCATTTTTCATATTTTTTTTATTAACAATACGCTCGACATATTTACTTTTTTCAACACATCCAAAATAACAGTATTTAAAACAAGATGAAAAGTCATGTCAAGTAATGTCAAGTCAGAACCAGTTGTGGAGGCTAAACATATATTGATGCCGTAGTTGTATATAAAAATGGGCCATTGCCTCTGTTGGTCCCGACTAGAATCTGAGAAGTCTCCTTTACAAAAAAAAAAAAAACAAATTGTAAAAGTTCTGGATTAAATTCTGAAGCTTTCGAATAATTAAAGGATTCTCTTCCAAATTATCTGAAACTAAAGTAAAACCGGGTATTTTCGTGGGACGTGAAATAAAAAAAATTCGTTTTCATTTGGGGTGCATGCGCTATAGCTTTAAAAAAAGCGGACAGCTGGCAATTGCCATCATCGTCATGAATGAATGATGTAGGTAGCGCGCTAATTATCTTTCACTTTAATCAATCTTTACAACTAGTTACAGTCCTCGCGGCGTAAGCTGAGCTTTGCATTTATGCACACAGATAGTGTACGGTGGGATACGGCTTGAGGCGCAGCGCGTCCCGCGCATGGTTTAAACCAGTTTATACTGGTTTTTAAAACGCGTTTTTGTACCCTTATTTGCGGCTACTTTAACATAGGCAGCCGCAGAACAATGGAGCTCAGAAAAATTTTGTTTTAATTTCATTTACAAATAATGAATATACGTCATAAACGTATAACTGTAACAAAGTATTACCTGTTAACACCTTGCTGCGGAGAAGTTACGGCCAAGTGCGCTACTGCAACCAAATCTTTCCAAGTTACATTCCTGTGAAGTACAGTTACATTTTATGTTCCTGTGAAGTGGTGTATAGTTTAATTAAAAACAAGTGAATGAATTTTTTTCGTAAACATCGATTAATATTATTTTAATTAAAAATAATTGCGGCCACATTTGATAGGCACCCTAGCAAATATGTATTCTCTCACTTACTAACAACTGTCTCTCTCACTTATAACTGTATTTTAAAATTAAATTTTGATTAAAAACTACATGAACGTTACTACGTTTATGTAGTTTTTAATCAAAATTTTATTTAATCTTGCAGCCGGATCTTGTATTATACTCATTATTCTTGAATTAAAAAGACTCCGATGTTCAGCAAACACTTTTCTGATAGTAATTTATAAAAAATATGAAAATATCAGTTATTTTTCTTAATATTCGAAAAAAATGCTTAGGTTTCTACAAAAGCGAACTGATTAAAAACATTAATAACAGCTTAATACTGCTGTGCTTCTTAGTGCGGTGCGTGTAGAAAACCGGAGACGCTTCTGCGTCTCTGCAAAATTGTAGAGACGTGCGGCAGTTATATTAGTAGTATAGTTGTAGCACGAATGGGTCGGCTCGACCGGAGAAGGACCACACTCTCACAGAAAACCATCGTGAAATAGTAGCTTAATGCTGCTGTGTTTGTTCGTATGGTGAGTATACAGAACCGGAGAGCCTTTTCACTGGAAACGAGGCATTCTATCTTAGTCCTCACGAATGACAACACATCTGCGTTTTGATTCTTAATCGAGGATAAATGTAGATGTCTATGGGCTATAGCATCTATTTACCATCAGGTGGACTGTGTGCCCGTTTGTCACACTTATTGTACTAAAAAAACGTGAACTATTACACTCATATCTATGATTTTTTTTTGATGGATTTGAATGATTGATTGATGATGATGATTGCAGCCTCTCTGGAAGTGCACATATCCCGCGGTGCAGTCATTGATATGGCTTTCAATCCTATGAGGTCCGAACAGTTCGTACTTATGACGAAACATGATATATGGATTGGTATTTCTAAGGTTTGTAATAATTTCTATAAATATTATAAGTGAAATCAATCGAATCTTTAAGATTCAACAAATTTACGTGGTAGAGCCACGCTGCAGCTACATTGTAGTTGTATCATGAATGGGTCGGCTCGACCGGGGTGTGACCACGAACATACCAGCGTAAAATAGCAGCTTAAGGCTGATGTGTTTCGTAAGTGAGAACCGGAGACCCGTTTTACTGAAAACGTATTCCATGTTAGTGTTCAGGGGTGACAACGCACCTGCATTTTGATTCTTAATGGAGGATAAATTCTTAATGGGTGAAGTGTATGCTCGTTTATCGTATAATCTATAAAAATTCATTCAGAAGTGTTGATTGTGTTCGTGCTAAATTAAGATGTATTTATTCATTTGACGGCCCGCAAGCGCAGTAGCTAAGCGTAACGTTTAATGTTTCGGATGTGCAGTGACAAAACTTCCATAGAAGCCAAAAAGCCGGGTTTGCTTTATTAAACTGAATCAATCAATAATATCAACTAATAAAATAACTCGTAAACTGTTTCAAAGTATTTCAAATTTCCCGCGCACTCCACTGTTCGACACAGGTCATGACCTCGTATTACCGTAGCGATACTGCTGCTGTCATAAAAAATGAGTTTTAATAGAGCGATTAGTCGTCTCTCTCGCTCGCGTGGGCTTTTACGGGGCTATCGAGAAGACGATCGCTCCCTTTCTAACCTGTGGCAAAATATTCTATAATGAAATATAACTACGATTGCATATATAGCAATTAGTATAGAGAGTTAAAGCCAGGCTTTAGGAATGAAGTTATCGAGAGCGGAGGCGCACGGGCAAGTTTGCAAGTTCATTTCACATTTCAATGTTTATTTACTCTGTGTGTTTAGCATAAACGATTTAATATTGCGAGTTGTAAATTGATGCTTTTTTAAGGTTTTTAGTGAAAATGGAGGATAATAGTGTTCCTTGTGATGAATTGAAGTGTGTTAATGTAATAATCGGACAGGAAAAGGTACAATCTTTAAAGTTTGTTGAGAAAATACACAATGTCAAGAGTGTTTCAGACTTATCAATTATCGCAATTAAAAAACAGTTAATCGTACAATTAAAACGTTCACCGACATTTTACGCGGACGTAATTAAATCTTTCCGAAAGAGAGACGATTCCATTTAGAATGTAAATATTTTTTTTTTAATTTTGTACATAGTTTGTTTGTACTTTGTTCATGTTTTAATTTTGTTCATGTATTGTATGTAAATATCCTTTCTTTCGCTTAAACAAACTCAAACGGTTTTTTTCAAAGCCATCGAAGCTATACAATTACTAATATGTAATACAATCTATCTAGCGGTAGTATGCCTTCTATGTGCTTTGTTAATCACGTCCTTGACAGCACTGAATATGAAACTGAAGCGTGGAGACAGATCAAGATCGGTGTATTTTTATAAAACTGCTAAAAACAACAATCTATATTTTTATCAATTTATATCTCGGGCTTGCCCTAGCTTGGGGCTCTAGCGCATGGATTTGCATGTTCGAATGCCACATGGAACAAGTGTTTGTTTGACCTACAAATAACCGTTCCGAGCCTGGATGTTTGTACATATACATTTTAAATGTGTATAAAACTCTTCCTTGATACGGGAGAAAACCCTGGTGCGGGTATAACAGTTTTTTATATAAAATAAGATATTTCTATTAAATTAGGTACCTATGTGACAGCGGTCTAACATTGTTTTATCAAGATAAAATACCAAATAAACTTACTGTTGTTGGACCGTAAGTTAATTCGGCACTTCATTTTTATTTAAAAAATCTTGCTTATTTGAGAAATTAATAAATATTTCGAGGACATTAGAATTCCACCACACGCCTTGGGACAGCGCGGTTTTACACTTGCCTTGCTCCAAAACTTGAAAGTAGGCCTGCGTCCAGAAATTCCGAAAGATAATATGTTTATATTCTTATACATTCATACAGAAAACGTTCGCCATAGAAAGGGGAGTTCTAAAAGAAACCGACAATTACGAGTTGAAGATTCAGACGGTCGAGAGGAAGCAAAGCACAGACTTTGGAAAACTGACTTGCTTTACTTTTGTAAAGGAGACTTCTCAGATTCTAGTCGGGACCAAGAGAGGCAACGTGCTCGTTTATGGCTACACTGCCGAGTACCAAGAGAACGTCGACGCTTCTAATACTGATGACTTAAAGTTCGTCAAAGGTTTGAGAGTAGAACAGAAAAGGATTAATGTTTTAAAAAATGTCGATGGGTGCGTTCTTTTTTGCAACGAATATTACCAGTAACATTGACTTTATGATTGAATTATTTCTAGCAGTGAAATTTTAAACTGATGATCAAGAAGAAGAAAAGGTAACAAAAAAACGAGTTTGCTTATGAGCACACGACTGAAGTAAAACTTAACACTTAGCTCCATCTGTATGTATGTGTATATATATATATATATATATATATATATATATATATATATATATATATATCTGTATATATATACATATATATATATATATATATATATATATAATGTATAATATATACAAGTATATATATATACATATATTAATTTTATACAAATATTTAAATTTATTATCGGCTTCCTTCTATAATTTGTTATTATTCACACGAAAGTTCACAAAACATGAACTTTAAAATGAATTTATAATTTTATTCACTTTAAACTCTACGTATATCTATATGTAATGTATTGAACAAAATATTAATTCATAAAATTGTTCAAGACGAAATAAAATTACGAAAAACAACCGGCTATGTGAGAGAGAAAGAAAATGTGCGCGTGCACTGCTCTCTCTTGCTTATATCCCCCACCTAACTCCCTTTCGCCTCGCACGATCACGCTTTTCGTAACGCTTTCTTCACGCGTTTGCCACCTTCCTCCCCAAGTCAAACGTGCGTAAAGAAGTTTTACTTCAGTAACTTTTAACTCTTTCTCCACCTAAGGGTCCGTCTGACTTGGTACCACTTTGTTACATATTTAGGTACCTACTACCAAGTACTGCAGCCATTGGAATGATCCGGTTTGAATTTGAAAGGCAATAGAGCTAGCATTATTTGAGCTTATGGAGCATTTCATTTGAGTTTTCCGAAGTGAACTGTCTCCATAAGTTAGTAGGTAGCCGCTTAGGTGGATTGCTAGCAAAAAAATCTGTACTCTGTGTTTTTGTAAATATTTTGACTTAATTGGAATTTGAAAGCTTGAGACAAAGACAGAAAACGTAGTAGCAATGTACCTTTATCACTAGATTACGCGGTCGTTTTGTTTTAAAATATTGTTCAATTTTATCATCGTTCTCAACATTATGAAATGATATCTCATAGAGACAGCCGCAAAATTTTGTGGTATATTTTGTTGCTTTATTTTATTGCTCAAATACGATAACTTGGCTATGGAGCACACTCTTTTAAATATTTTGGAATATTTTTTTACATATTCCCTAAATTCGACGCTAGGATTATATATGACCTTTCTTTGTAAAGTTCATATAACCTTTGTCTACTCTTATGGACTCCTACTATCGCCCATTCATTATATTCCATGTTCAAGGAGAATGTTTTAGAAGTAAAAGTATTACTTCTAAAACATTATCATAATGTTTTAGAGGTAAAAGTATTACAGTTATTATACAAAATCGTAATCGGTTGAATCGGAATGAAAACGGTTTGAGATCTCGGATCCAATGAAATTTAAAACAACTCAGATTCGATCAACGAAGTATAAACACTGAGTTCGTAGGATCCGATTTTGATTAAATTACGACAACCTCTGTCTTTCTTTTATTTAAGCGTAACGGTTACAGTCATTGATTTATATATTACAGTATGCAATAGTGAATAAATGCAGCAATAAAAACCCAAACGAAAATTCGTTGTTTCTAAATTTTAAACAGGCGTTCAGTCATGCGCATTTAAACGAGCTTTACTAATCGAATAAAAACAATTTCAGTGTAATTGTGACGGGCAATAACGCTGGTGAAATTCGCTTCTATGACCCCCAGTTAAAACTGCTCTACTGGATACACGGCTTCACGGTGGACTGTGTAAAAGGGCTCAGTTTCAATTTATCGCCGAGGAGTTATCAAATATTGGACCCAAAATGTATGTGTCTGTAATATACAAATCTGATAGAGGTCGTCTAAATCAAAACGGCCCGTAATTCGATTGTATTTTTTATTGATTTTATTCCTATTATCATGTCATATATTATGGTAAAAAGGCTAAAGCACAGTAGAAATGCCGCGCAGGTTTAAATTACGGTAAATGTAACGAGTGCAGTTTTAACTTACATGATCTCTGCTTTTTCATTAGTAAGTATAGGTCGCTCCACGAAAGATAAAATAAAATGGAAGCGCGCAAAAGCGAAAAATAGGTGTCGGCACGGTGAGGTGTGAGGTAGGGGGAAGCGAAACCATTGTAACGGGCGACGCGCTACTCCTACGTCGTTTCTTCCTGCGTCCCGTCGCCCGCGCACCTTCTTGTGTCGTCTTGTGTACTATCGATATCGAAAGTGCTAGCGACTACCTGTTATAAAATTTTAAATTTTTGCGATTATTTTTGTACTTTTAAAAATATTGTATATAATATTTTCAAATAGTGTGCAAATATTTATTACTTTATAAATTATTTTGGGACTATTTAAAATAGCGTAATTCGTAGTATATTGTATAAAGTTGTAAAAATTTTGTAATTTTCTACAAGATGATTTTTTTTTGCAAATTATTGCATGTAAAATATCCTTATAATCGAAGGCTATCGCATAGTATAGTTTAAATAGCAATTTCAAATACAAAAATACAAATACAAAATATTTTATTTCTTTAACTAAGTGTACACATAAAATGCAGAATTTTATTTTGAAGCAGTTAAAACCTAACGATTATATATATATATATATATATATATATATATATATATATATATATCGTTCCGTTTTCGTGGAGACTGATGTGTAGTTATAATGTTGACCTTTGACTTTTTTCATATTAAAATGCCATAATAAAATTTTCATTTTTCTGCTTGATTGTACATGTGCAGTGGACTCTATTTAATTTCATCTTTGGTGGCGCGACCCATAACTACTACCATATAAATTAAGAATAAATATGAAACATTTTTTTTTCTAACTAAATTTGGTGGCATAGATCGATAGGTGAAAATCTTCACGAAAATATCCAACTAATTAAGTAGATATCTTTGCAGCTATGGATGTATGTTCTCTACTTGCCTAGTGTTGAGCATATTGACAATCTTTCTAATGTGTATCATCATTTCATGGTCTTTGTCTATTAGATTCTAAAAACTGAATATTGGACTAAAACACGTCTCAAGCGTTTATTGTTGTTTGTATTTTAAGTGACGACAAATGAATCAACAGGATCAACAGGTTTGCCAGACCAAATCGGAAAATCATCCGCGTGACGCCAGACGGGGTGGATAATCGTGGCGTGAACCACTCGTAACACAAGCAATTTAAGCTTACCACGAGTGGTTAAGGGGAATATTAGTATTGTTAATATTCTTTTTAAAAAAATCGGAATTCGTATATTATATTTCTTCCAAATTTACTCCTCGCCTGTGTACAGTCGTTTATAGAAACATGATGGCTGTTTGTTAAATCTTTTTTGAATAATGATGATAATATGATGGCTTTTGTGAAATACTATGAAAAGATATGGCTCAAACACGAAAATTATGAGGCTGCTTGGAATTCATTTGTAATGCCTCACATAATTAAAAATTCATTAGAATCCTGGCATAAAATTATTTCAAATGAAGTTAAAGACAAACATCCGTAAAGTTTTTGGATTGCTTCCAAAAATACGCTCAGTTTTTTAATTAGAAAAAATTAGAAAACGATTGCAAATGTACATTATAAGAGATGAATTTATACAGGATATACAATTACGTCCACTCAATAATGAAATTAGTGTTGGTCATTTCCTGGACATATTGCAGAATTTATAATTTACTTATTATAATTTAAAACAAGACAGTTTAGTTTGGTTTAAACGCAATACTTAATGTTTTTTTTTTTGTTTTCATTTTAATATGTTAAAGTAAGAATATATTTTCTGTTGAACTATACTTGGGTGAAAAAGCGGAACAACAATCAAAAAGTGAATTCCGATTATTAACCGTATTTCGATAAACGAACACGCATTTCCGAGTATCTACCCTAGGATGGGTTTCTTAGGGTCGATAAACGGAATAACCCGAATGAGAATAGAAATAGATTTAGTTGAGCTACAGCGTCCACTTACCATCAGGTAAACTATGTGCCAGCTAGTCATCTTAATTCTTTAAAAAAAAAACTTTCTATTCAAAGTTATTTTTTTTCTTCATGAGCGAGTATGAACTAGTTTTTGGTCATAGGCCTCATATTATTAAGCTTACGAAAGCTATATAACATCAGACACAGGAACACACACAGGAGATATAAACTCCGAAATCAAACGTTTTAGCTTTCGCACAAACATTGCCTTCGGACGCAGTTTGATCATTTTGAAATTAAGCGTTATAAAATTCATAAAATTAGTTTCATAAATGTCTTGTATTCGCGTAAATGTAAGAAATCATTATGTACGTAAACTAAGTATTCTACTTCTTAAGTGAACTGGGTGCAGGTATAACAAGAAGTATTCTTGTTTTTATAATTTCTAGGTAATCAACCATGTCCGTGTTGGGAAAATGTGATACTGGAGGTAGATCCAGAGACTGGTGTCAAGCGCCAGAAGCTTATGAGGAGCAGACTGCCTCCTGACGCAACTGTGGCTAACAAACCGTTCGTCGTCAGAGATTTTATTGTGT